AAAAAAAAAAAAAAAATCATTGTAGGGCTTGAGATTTAGCTCAGCAGTGCTAAGCCTGCCTAGCAAGTGCAAGGTCCTAAGTTCAATTCCTGGTACTGGAAAAAAAAATCATGACACAAATCCTGGCTAACTGTACAGGTAATAGCTGTCATTGACTAGATGGTGGAAGGAAAAAGGCACTGATATGAGAATATGCGGGCCATGCTTCTAATTAGCAGTGTCATTTTGAACCTTTTGGATCTCAAGGCCTTCATTTGTGAAATGAAGGAGGTGACCAGAATTACCAGGGATGAACTCTAAGGTTCCACTTTCGGCATTAATCCATAATCCTATAAACTTAAACCCTTCACAATCCTTGTCACTTATGAGAGACTACTTTTCATGTTCTTTAGAAAAAAAATCTTACATATGATAAACACGACTTACACGTGAAATTAAACATCTGATAGACTTTGTGGTAGGTTTATAAGACAGGATCTTGATAAAATCAAACCATCTATACTTTGATACAGGAACTAAACTTAAGAAATGCAATTAGCCAGGTGCTAAGGATGCTCAGTCTCACATTTCCCAATGGTTGACTGTTAGCTTCATGATTCAGTGTACCCAGAGCATTTTAATTGCTTGGGGCAACATGTTTCTCAGGGACTTCTCTTTAAGCACAGAGTATTCCTTATACTTTCTCCCTCAGGGAAGTAAACATTGTCTAATAATTACATAGTGCATTCCTAGGAAGAAAAATATATGCAGCATTTCATTCATTATTATTCTAGTGGCATTATGGATAGAATCCAAGGTCTTGGGCATGACAGACAAGTGTTCTATCACTGAGCTATATGCTCAGCCCCTTACTCCAAAACATGGGTTCTGATAAAGGAGATCAAATCACAGTCTTTAGGCTGGAGATGTAGTTCAGGTTCAATTCCCTGTACCTGAGGAGAGAGGAGCCCAATTAAAGCTCTATCTCCTTCATGAGAACTTTTCATTTAACCAAATAGATTTTTATTCTCTGTAACACTTTTGCTTTACTTAATTTTATTACTATTTTTTACTGTGTTGGGGATCAAACCAGGTGAGTTACTAGTGAGTTACCTTCTGGCCTAGTCCTATTTCATTTTCAAAAAGTATTTTATTTTGCATATGTATAAATTCTGTGAGGATTGTTAAAATAGAGTTATGTACCAGTAGGATTAGCCTGGAGTAGACCTCTGGGGTCAAATGGGCTATTGGAAGAACTTATCTGTTAGGAGATGAATATAAAGGTACCTCTAAAGCAACAAGAACAGTCTATAAGGGAAAAGCCACACAAAGTTAAAAAAAAAACTTTGACCAAGGATGCAGTGAGTCCATCTAAGTAGAGGAGAGAAACAGACAGTAAGAACATGGGGGTCTTGGAAGCAAGTAGGAGGTCCTCATCCTAAAAACACAGACATATCAGAAGATGAAGGGAAATACCAATTTCTAGTTCCGTGGTCAGCTCAATTCTAATGTGTCCTTCAATTTCACTCAGTTCTTATACATACTTTATGGAGTATTGAGTAAATTTCTGGCCTTACATGCTATAGTAGTCTCAGCTTACTAACTCCTTTATTGTATGCCTCTGTGCTTCCACCCAAGTTAGGGTAGCTTACTGTAACCTTGTAGAGAACTTGGCTTTCTAAGTCTGCCAGTCTTTCTCAATTTTCCAAACTCAGCAATCTGGCTGATCCTCTATAGTGTATCACTCCAATGAGTCTCTAATCAAGGTTACTGACTTCTTGTTCTTCTAATATATACCCACAAACACACACACACACACACACACACACACACACACACACACACACACACCTCCAATTATATAAGCAAACCAAAACTGCCTTTTCTAGATGCCAAGCACTATTGAGGAAAAAAAATCCAACTACAAAGTTTGTGGTATCCAGACCACAGCTTCCAGAACTACTGAGGAATCTCTTACTTGTCCCAAATGTGCTCCTGCTCCTACTTTCTTTAAAAGTATTCACATGGTCTCTCTTTTGCTTTAGTTCGTATTTCATCATTTGCCCCTCACCTACATTGGTAGTGAGCTGTGCTTTTTTGTTTTGGAGAACATAAAGATATCCTTAAATTTCTAGATTTCTACCTGTCTGTATCCCCATGCACTTATCTTAGAGGGGTACTACTTTAAATTGGCACTGTTGGTACATTTTGCTAGATGATATTTTGTTGAGAAGGCTGTCTTTTGCATCTAGGTGGCTAAGCAAAATCCATTTGGACGCAGTAGGATCTCTGTCCTTGTAGCTGAGGCAATAAAAATGTCCAAACACTGCCAAGTATCTCCTGAGAGGCAAAATCACCATCAATTTAGAGCCACTGCTCTAAGTCAAGATTTAGCTATCAACCTGGCTTTCTTATTTTTGGTACTGGGAATTGAGCTTGGGACCTTGTGCTTGCAAGGCAGGCGGTGGCATCACTGAGCTAAATCTCCAGCCCCAACCTGGCTTTCTGATAGAAAATTTCTTGCTTCCCCCAAGGTTGACTGTGTCCTTGGTGTCTGTATCAGTTAAGAGAGTTCACTAGAGGAACACATTTTAATAAAGTGTGTGTGTGTGTTTGTGGGTATGTGTTCATATAAAGGATTTACTTAGTGGGCTTACAATGGCCACCTGCAGAATCAGGGGTGGAAATGGTCATCTGCATGATGGGAGACCAGAGGATCCAGTTGGAGGTAGCAGGTCTGAAGCTTACTGCGGAGTCCAGTGTGAATCTGTCAGAAGGCTGAAGAGTCTGTTCTAGGAGCCTGAAGAAACTGGAGACAAACTTTGACAGGCAATGGCAAAGACAGCAACTCCTCCTAAGACACAGAGGGAAAACTCCTTTCTTCTTTCCCTTCTTTTTTCATATAGGTCACAAGCCTATTGGTTGGTGCTACCCACATCTGGCTTGTGTCTTCCCTCCTCAGTTTGCAGCCCACATGTCAATCATCCACAGTCACACCCAGAACTGTGCTCCACTGATCCACCAGGTGTTTCTTAATCCAATCAAGTTGACAAATCACAATTAATGATCACAGGGCCGTGGATTTAGCTCAGTGGTTCCGGTGCCTGCCTCACAAGCACAAGGGCCTGAGTTCGATCCCCGGTACCAAAAACCAAAAAACAAAAGAAGAAAACAATTAATGATCACAGTGCCCTTTATTTATCTTGAACCTGTTCACTTGCTTTGTTTCCTTAGTATATGATTTTATGTGTCTCTCCAATATTTAAAAAATTCTTGGATGCCAATTCTCTCTCCAACCACTGACTGTTTTTCAGTCTTCAAAGTGAAACTCTGAGAATGACTTCCATGAGTTCTTCTGCTACAGTGCCAATCAACCTTTAATCTACCCTTTAATCTCTGTCAATCTACAGATATAGCACAAAACTACTATGGTCCTCTTGATGACTAAATGTTCAGAAACCTAATGGCTAGCCTCTTTCCAAACAATTCCCGGAACCTCTCTTCTCCTTTAGCCTAACTTCTGGGGTCCTATTTTTTTCTGGTTCTTTCTTTTCTCCTTGAAGTATTCTTTCTTAATTTTCTCTTCCTTTGATTTCTCTTAATCTAGTGTTCAAATGGATTCTGCCTTTGGCTTTCTTTTAGAGTTCAACAACTATCTTTCTGAGCTTCTAATTTTTTTTTTTTAATCTCCTTTAGTAACTTCTGGGGTCCTATTTTTTTCTGGTTCTTTCTTTTCTCCTTGAAGTATTCTTTCTTAATTTTCTCTTCCTTTGATTTCTCTTAATCTAGTGTTCAAATGGATTCTGCCTTTGGCTTTCTTTTAGAGAGTT